GGCAGCGTCTGCGGGCAGTCACCGATCACCACTTGGCGCCTGCCACCCCGCCTCACTGCCAACACCCCCTCAGCTGCCTACGGGCGGTCACCGCTCAGCACGCCCTCGCCACTGACATCACTGTGGCTGCCCGCAGGCAGTCCCTGCTTGCTGCTGCCACACCACTGCCACAGCCCTCAGGCGTTCACTGTGCCCCACCCAGCCTCGGGAGGCACTCATGCTGGCAGAGACACATTAATCTCTACTCACTGCAGTACTAGTTGTAGTATTTAAGAATGGGCTGTGAGAGAAGTTCCTTGAGTGAATGGAACAACTGAATTGTTGGCTTTGTCTTATATTGCATTCCCAGCTTATATTTACCATTCATGTTTTGATTGCTATTTGTAGCAAAATGCCAAAATAAATAAGAAATCAAGAGGAATGACAGGTTTCAAAGTCTCTTCAGAAAGAAATCAGTTTCCTTTTATTTTCTCACATATCCAGTGAGCCTTGTTCTATATATGCCTACATTTAAAGCCATGTTTAGAAAGGTATAGAAGATAATTCCAGAAGTAAACAACTGTCTTACTGTTTTTCCTGAGAAGTGTGGCCAGTTTGCTCTTGTGTGTCAAGTTTTGGAAGAAGCCGAGGAATGAACCTGCTCCACTATCTCATGTCTTTGCCCCAGATGAAGGATTTACTTTTCATTCTAGGTCAGCCCCTACTTTTCAGTTTCAAGCTATATATCATATCTGCATGTATTCCTTGGATGGACATTGACATTCAGGGCAATCTCCAACCTACAGAGTGATTCAACAGCATTGCAACAGTAGTCTGTTCAACTACTTTTAGTATGTCCCTATCACCGTCTCTCTTCCTACATCAATCTCTCCCTCTCTGATACCCCATTCATTCAGCACGGCTCCCCACACAGTGCATGTTCCAGCAAGCTGAAAATGAAACTAAGGAGAAACCAGAGCAGCAGTAAAACCTGTTGAGAAGTGGTTTTCCTCTTCAAGCAGGGCATTTTAAATAGAGGGGGTGAGGCAACACATAAAAACCTTGCATCTTCACCTTCTACCACCAAGAAATAAAACAACCTACTACAGAAGCTCTGGCTATAATGCAAAACCTTAACTTCAACCCCAGTGAGTATGTTTTGACCTATGTGCCCTGACTAAATGGCAAATCTGTTGTGTGTTTGGGGGAAAGTCAAGAGTAAAGTTTTGACATTCTAATGCAAGTTAAATTATGGAGAGTAGCAGGTTTCTATGTTAGAGTTGGAGAGTCCTTGGAGGATGCACAATTTCTCAGTCATACAAACTAATGAGAATCGGTACATGTTAGAGAGGCTGTCTCTTAGTTTGGTGTTTCCTTAATATTATGAGTGTGGGGTTTTTAAATGAGTCATTGTTTGAGAAAATGTCATAGATTTCTTACCAGGGACCATGACAGGAAACAGATTTTCAGAGGCCCAGGTGTATCAACCAGGCTACTTTTGTGCTGTGGCTCTTCCTCAGAGCAGGTGTTTTCAGTGCCACTGCTGCAGATGTTATGACAAAGGGAATAGATTCCCCAGCAGGAACAGAATGTGTCCAGGTGCCACCTACCATTGAGCCTGTTGCTGGGTGAAAAGAGGGGAAGGGAGGTGCTGCAAAACTTAGAGGCATTGGCCCTCCGGGGGGAGGTTTCTCCATCCTCTGCCACATAGGCAATGCGTGCCTCCTGAGGCTGGGGGCACACGGCAACTGCCCGCAGGCAGTGACGCAGACGTTGGCGGTGAGGGAGGGCTGAGCGGGGACTGTCTGCAGGCAGCCGCAGCAGTAACAGCGGCAGGGAGTCGGGGTCCCCCTGCGGCTGGACACTGAGCCCGGAAGTACCAGCAGCCCTTCTGGGGGGGCCACCTGCCCCCCTTGCCTGTCACCTAAGGTGAGAACACTCACTCTCAAGGGAGGCATCCCCTACGTATTGCCTATGCCTTGCCATAAACACTCTTCTTCGTCAGCCAAGAAGTGTCTATGCCACCTCAAAGGAGCCTCTGGGCTCCTCTCTCCCTCCAGTTGGAGGTGCATGATCTGGGGAGCTATTCAAGCAAGCAAAGCAGATATGCAAGACTAAGGGTGCCTCAGGTGTCTCCTCAGATGTTATTCGTCTGGCCCTTGGCTACAGTATGGGTGGAGTAGTAGATATTATGGAGGGTAGGGCTAGGATTTGGAGAGACTTAGGTAAATTGGAGAATTGAACCAAACTAAATCTCATACAGTTCAATAAGGACAAGAGCAAAGTCCTGTACTTAGGACAGAACAACCCTGTGTAGACTGGGGACTGACAGGCTAAGCAGCAGCTCTACAAAAAAAAGACTTGGGGATTACAGTGAACAATAAGCTAAATATGAGCCAACAGTGTGCCCTCATTGTGAGGAAGGCTAATGGCATACTGGGCTGCATTGGTAGGAGTGTTGCCAGCAGGTCAAGGGAAGTGATTATTCCGCTCGATTCAGCACTGGTGAGGCCACATTTGGGGTACTGTGTTCAGTCTTGGGCCCCACACTACAGAAAGGATGCATTCAAATTGCATAGAGTCCAGCAGAGGGCAACAGAAATGGTGAGAGGGCTGGGGCAAAAGATATATGACAAGAGGTGGAGGAAACTAGGCTTCTTTAGTCTGGAGAAGAGAAGGCTGAGAGGGGATTTAATAGGAGCTTTCAACTACCGGAAGGTGGATTTGAAAGAGGATGGAGCTGGACTGTCCTCAGTGGTGGTGGTCACCTGGGGTGACAAGGAATAATGGTAATAAGCTGATGGAGAATAGGTTTAGGTTAGAAATCAAAAGGCAATATTTTACAGTTAGGGTGGCCAAAATCCCAACTTTCCAGGGAAGTGGTCCTCGCCCCTACCTTGGGCAAATTCAGAAAGAGGTTAGATGATCACCTATCTGGGGTCTTGTGCACCCAGCATTCATTCCTGCCTGTGGCAGGGGGTCAGGCTAGATGATCTGTTCAGGTCCCTCCTGACCCTAGCTACTATGAAACTATGAAACTATGAAGATCACTGGGGCAGTGGTCTCTGGCAGCGAGGGCCTGGCAGCCGGAAGGAATGAGGACATGGTGTGGTTGGAGGAGGATTAGTCGAGGTGAGGGTGCCCAGGGCAGCAGTGAGGCTCACCGGAGGGTAGGGCACGCTGTGAAGGATCAGCAGGGTGTGGATGCAGTGGGAGCACCAAAGAGCCATGGGTCCCTAGGTTGGCGATGAGGACTGGGGTGTGTTTGTGGACAGTGCAAGGACACAATACACGGGGGACAGAGAAGATTAATGAAAGATTTCAGAGCATGGGTCCATTGGCAATGCACAGGGGGTACATGTGGGTGCACATGCACCTCTTGAGATTGGCAGTGCACCCCCTGCAAAAAGCGACGCTGACGCTGCTGGCTGCACCTACAGTCACTGCTCACCACCCCACCCTCCTCGCTGCTGACATCGCTGGCGGCATCTGTGGGCAGTCCCCAATCGTTACTGGCCACCACCATCACTGGTGGCATCTGTGGATGGTTGCCAATGACTGGTTGGTGCTCACCTCCCCCCTCCCCGCCACTGACACTGCCATGGCTACCTGAGATCCCTGCTCAGCCCACTGTCAACACCACTGTGGCTGCCTGCATGAGCTCCCCACTCATCAGAGCCACATCCCTGCCACTGACACCACCGCCGCTGCCTGCAGGTGGGTCGCTGTACCCCCCAACCTCTGAGGGCACGTGTGTTCATGCCTGGGTCAGTGCTGTACATTGGGATGAGGAGACGCTGCGGCAGTGGGCAGGTCAGACAGGGGTTCAAGTCAGTACCTGGGGGCAGCAAATATTGGGGAGAGCTGGCCTCCAGCTGCCTTGACTGTTTTGTGTTGTATTTTTGTTTTTTTAAGTGGACACATTACATTTAGTGCCGTATTAGACAGGGCTCCAACGCCCAGAAATGTAACTAACAGGGGCCTGATGCTCCATTTGGGACCGCACTTTGGGTGTCCCTGGGGAGCGGGAGTCCCTGCTTCACAGCTTGTCCTGGGGCAGCAGTTTCCATGCGGGGGGGCCGCGGAA